TTAAAAAAATCAAAATCCATTATATGAGGTACCAAAGGTAGTCACATTCTTGCGACTTCCCGGCGGTCTAGTGGTTAAGCCTCCGCGTTCCCACTGCAGGGGGACACAGGTTAGATCCTGGTCTAATATCTAAAATTTAAAAACTAGCCAAATTCATAGAAACAGAAAGAATGATGGTTGCCAAGGGCTGGGGGTGAAGGGTTAGTGTTTAATGGGTACAGAGTTTCAGTCTTGCAAGATGAAAAGTGGAGATGGATGGCGGTGATGGCTGCACAACAGGGCAAAAGGTGAAAGGTAGCAGAACATGCCCCTGACGTTATTTTGAGCTACCAGCACTTGAAAAACAGCAAATGCAAAGCAAGGCTTTCACCGAACTCCCCTTCTCCGCCCAAAGACAGATCCTTCCAAAGGAACTCCATGGTCCTAGATCCCCTCCCCAGGAGTTTCACCAACCAGGGAAGATTGGCTCTTGACACAGGAGAGACTAAAAGTTGATACCAAACTGCGTCACAAGCTATCATATCTCTATCCATTCTTCTATTCTTCCAGTAAAAATCATTTACTCTCCCTTAAGAGGACTTTCCCTGTTAAGATGGTATTTAAGCCTAAATTCTAAAGTCACATCTTTGAGTGACACATTTTCCCTCCGGGGTATCTCCGATATATTCAAGACGTGTGCATGTTAATAAATTATTGTGCTTTGTTTTGTTTTGTTCCTCTTGTTAATCTGTCTTTCATTACAGGCATCTCAGCTAAGGACTCAGAAGGGTAAAAGGAAAATTATTTTTCCTCCCCTACAATATACTTAACACTACTGAACTGTACGCTAAAAAATGGTTGAGATGATATATTCTGTGTATTTTGCCACAATTTAAAGACAACAAATTAAAACACAAAACAAAGGCCCAATAAGTTAACTAACTTCTTAACGTTCCTATACTAGGCAAAATTGGAACTTTCTGACTGGTGGGGGATGAAATGGGTTATTTTGAAGCGGGAGCAGTTTGTTTTCTGCCACACAATGCAAATACACAAATGTAAGCAGGAAAAGGAACAGAGCCTCTAGGGCTTCTTCTTCTTCTTTTTTTCCCCCCCTAAGGCGCAGATTCCCTTGACTTCCTTTTATGGTTATATAACTGATGACAACATAAGGCAAACCTTTCCCATCCAGCTCTCCGATTTCACCCTTTCCCTTAGGAGGAAAATGTTTGCTGGTCGTTGTGCGAACATTCTCATGTTGCTGAGTTAAGTCCCATACAAGGTTGTGTGACCTTCAGGGGAGCTGAATCCTTTGGGGGAAGGAGGAAAGGCAGGCGGACAAACAGGCACCAGTCCGACCCCCTGTAGCCCAACACCCAGGCCCTTTGTGAGCTCAGCTCATCACGTGCTCACGCCTGCCCACCAATCCCGCCTTGTTGCTGGGTCTCTGTCACTCTTCCATTGGTGCCAGCTCTGACGCAATCCCTTCTGGGGTGCCTGCAAAGGATGGGTCAGTGGATGAAGGAGCTGAAAATGGATCCAGTGACTCAAGCTGCTTCTAGCACGTTCTAGCACATTGCATTCTAGGTCAGGGGATTTTAGGAGCGTGACTTGATACCCGATTCCTGAATCCAAGTGGGACATTCAGACTTTGGGAGCCCTTCTCAGCAAATAGAAAAGCAGTTGTAACAACAGCAACAAAACTCCTCTGTACAGCAGGGTTTATCAACCCAATGGATTACTGACATTGGGGACCGGGTAATTCTGTATTATGGGGGACCGTCCATTGAAGGATGTTTAGCAGCATCCCTGGCCTTTATCACTGGGTGCTAGTGGCATTCCTCACCCCCAATACCACAGTATGACAACCACAAATGTCTCCTGGGAATTCCCTGGCAGTCCAGTGGTTAGGACTCAGTGCTTTCACTGCTGTGGCCTGGGTTCAATCTCTGGTCAAGGAACTAAGATCCCGAGAGCGGAGAGGGGGCCAAAAAAAAAAGTCTCCAGACATGGCCAGATGTCCACCGATGGGCCAAATCACTCGTGGTTGAGAACCACTGCTCAAGGTAAACAGCAGCCACCTGTCTTTGGGGGGGTCATTTTTCCCTCCCCTCTCCCTCACCTCAGTGCCCTTGGACAAATGTTTATTTCTATGTGCTTCAACCGAACCCACAGTTAGACTTAAGTTAGGGACCACAGGGGTGGTGCAGAGAATTTTTCTGCTAGAGACAACACGGTGTTCTCAGCTCGTAATAATGTTGTTTTCTCTTTGGAGATAACCCCGGGCCCATTCCCCCACCCTCTGAGCCTCTCTTCTCTCTCCTCTCCCCCCTCTTTCTCCTTCTTTCCCTCCCTTGCCTCTGAAATCAGGCCTGTTTTTCTCTGTACCTTTTGGACCATGAAAAAAACTATGTCACAAAACTCGTGACTCAGCCTTTAAACAACAGGAATCACAAGGCTTGCAGGAAAGGAACAGCCCAAAGCAAACAGGGTGTGGTTTGAAGCCAGGTCTGGTCACCTGAGAAAGTGTCTCAGCTTTTTGTTCCTCTAAAAACTTCTTTCTGAAATTTAGGGAGAAAAAAACTTTATAAAGAGCCTTGATGTTCTGTTCCTTTAAACTCCCTTTCCAAAAATTTAGAAATAACTTTCATGGAAGTCTGTATTGGAAGTCACTGTGAAACGGCAGAAATGCGCCTCGGGGTGGGGTGGGAGGCTCCGAGGAGCTCCAGTTCTTTATGTCTCAGCTCAGAAAGAATTCAGCGAGAGGCAAAGTGATAGCTAAGGAGTGATTTATTAGAATAGGACGCTCGTGAGGCTTCCAAGCGGGTGGGCGAGAGGGGGCTGCACCCCAAAAACTTAGTGGGCTACAGTTTTAGAATCCAACAAAAAATGGGGAGGGGGAAAAGACCACCTTCTTCCTCATTCTTGAGTAGATGTTAAGCTTCCATCATCAGCTCCTCCTCCACGTCAGGCGGGTTTTCTCGTCCCTCCATAGTCAAGTCAGGACTGTCACGGCACAGTGGAAATGAGCAAAAAGGTGGTAACATATATTAAAAATGGTAAATCATCTCAGGTTCCAGTATAATGTCACCCTCTCCTTATATGTTTGCTTTTAGTACGCCCAGAGGAGCATGTCCTAGGGATCATTAAGTTACTGAGCTCACTGGGCAGGATATGGGTCTCCTTCCACCGTTGTTTGTTTCGGGGCATGTCTCATGCTTCTGTTGCATGGGTTTTTTGTTAAGCAAGCCTGCTGGTTTTGCGGTTAAGTAAACCTGCTTTCTTGAGTGAAAGACCCCTTAACTTACTTTTTTCTCTACTTACAATCCCCTAGTGGGATTAACCATAATGTTTCATCACCAACTTTGTCTCTTTACTCTGTCCCTGTCAACTGGGGTCTCCTGCTAACCTGAAAAATGACATTTTATTTTTATTATTCATTCTAATTTCCCAGTAATAAATTCATTCTGAAAAAAGTTAAAAATGATAGAGGTTAAAGTCTGTTTTGAAAATTGCTCAGAGCTTTTTCGTAAGTACATACCCAGGTTACCAAAGAAAATATATAGCAGTTTTGTTCTGATTCACGTTTTAAGTATAATGTTTAAATAATGTTCATAATTTCAAGCAGGAATGTAGTCTTTTCCTAACGGCAGAACATTTTTTAGTCAGTTGCCCCTTTTTCTCTCTCTATATTTTTGAAGGCTTTAAGGGTAAAAATTAAAAACACCCTCCTCTCATTTGTACAAATAGGGAATATTTCTAGAAGAGTCCAGAAAGAACGGTGGCTGGGGAATTGAATGCATGAGGAAGATTTTCCACTGTAAACTTCAAAAAAATCTGTTGGCATCATGTTCGTATATTTCAAAATACTTGAAAAATCTGCTGGAGAAAGGACATAGAGATCATAAAATAGATTGTCATAAAAAAAGGAAAAAGATCTAACTGACGATCTTTTTCTCTTCTTTTACCCAAAGGAAATTTGCCTAGAGAATTAAATTTTATATTTGGGATATTAATTTTTTCCCAGGAATAAACAGAACTTAGATTCAATAAGTATCTTCTTAAAATCTCGGGCTTAAATAAGTTTGATTTCTGATTTCTGAGCTCAACTAAATGTCAACAGAATTCAAATTCCAACGCCTCCCTGTTGATAATCAAGCACAAACCAGGAAGGCCGAAGAGCAATCTAGAAAGTTCTGTCAGCTTTCAAGTCCAGCGCAAAGAGTTTTACACTGCTGTGTGGAATTTCCGCTTTTCTTTCCAAAATTCAATGTAGACCTGCCATAGGCATTTCTCCCTTGGAAACTTAGTTTTCACTCCTGTGTTCTGAGGAATTCCTGAGGCTCCTGACGACCCGTCTGAGGCGGGCTTGAGGCCGCGGCCCTGGGATTTGTCGAGTCATTCGTCTTGTCTCGGTGCCCGCCCGGTGGGGGATGGGCGCGGCCGCCGCAAGTTGGGGGGCTGGACTCCCAGAGTAGGCCTCGCGACGGGCTGAGGATGAGGGGGAAGTTCAGGGCAACAGAAACACTACCCATATCTAAATATGACTCACAATAAACACCCCTCTTTATTCGCGGGGGGGAGGGGCAGGGCGGGGTGTGCGCTGGGCAAGCGGGACCCCGACTCGGTGTGAGGCGCTCGGCCGGAGCCCTGTACGCCTAGGGCGGGCCTCGCGAACGGCGGGGCCCGTCCGGGCCGGGGGGAGGGGGCATAAAGGCCGGGCGGTGGAGACGGCCCGCTCCGGACGTCTGAGCGACTCCACGCCGGGTTTTCAGGCCGCCCGCCCCCCACTCTCCCTCCCCTTAATTCGAGCCCGGGGCAAGTCCGCGGACGCAGCGCTCAACGAGCGCGCTGATCCCTCCGCCAGGCCTCTCGGGACGGCGGCCCGCTCCGCGCCAGATTCGGCCCCAAAGCTCCAGTCTTCACAGGAGAGCATTTTATGAGTGGAATTAGTTGAGTCTGGGGTTTCTCTTCAGAGGGCAGGAGGGCTGCGAAAAGTAGTCCCTTCTCGGCGTTTCTGCGGAAGGATCTATCGGAGCGGCGCTACCTGTACCTATATAAGGAAGCGCCGGCGGGAGCGGTGCGCAGGCATCTTCGTGAAGTTTGGAAGCCGAGTTGCGGTTTTTCTGCGTTTGCTGCCGTCACCACCGTTTGGTAAGGAGGGGGCCCGGGGGTCTCGCGGCCGCGGGGGGCGCGGGGTGTCGACTTGCCCGCTGCGGCAGAGGGAGCAGCCGAGGCCTTTAGTCACCCGGGGCCCGCTAGCAGCAGGGTAGCCCTGAGAGGGAGGAACGCGGCAAAATGGCGTCCGTTTCCCGTCCCTCGGTGGGAGAAGCCGGACTCCGAAGCGGGCTATGAGGTGGGAGAGAGAAGATGGGGGACGGGGGAGGGGACTGCGGGTGAAACGGAAACGCGAGAGACGCGAGAGGCCCGTGAGGCCTCCGTGGCGGCGGGGCCCAGCTTTTTGGGGAACGGGGTTGGGCAGCGTGTGAGGGAAGCGAACATTAGGTCACGGTTTGACTCGAGCGAGAACTCGGTTTCCCGTCCCAGTAAGGGGACAGTAACTGCCGATGCCACGGAGCCGTCCTGCACCCGCGAGGGGGGAGGGGACCCGCTCGCCAACGCGGTTACGAGACGTCATCCCTTCCGTGGGCTCGTAATCGAGGGTGGGGCCGCCTGCTGGTATGTGTGGAGGGAGAGTTTTTCTGTTCTCGGGGCACAGGGTTTGGGCCTGGGGTGGTCGCTGCCGTGTTGGCAGGGGACAGACAGCCAGTGGGGGGGGAGGGTAAGTGAGGCCCGCGAATTGACTGCTTTTCTTTCTTAAGTGCGTGAAACGTTGGCTGTGACCTTATTTGTCAAGCTTTTGAGTTTTTGGGCACGTTAGTCATTTGGTTAGTATATAGTGACATATAATTTTGTAGCATTAGGTATGTGTTGACCTCTGAATTATCTGTTAAACGCTGGGGTTATTTTTTGTGTTAATTTTTTTGTTGCAACAGACAATGCAGATCTTCGTGAAGACCTTGACTGGTAAGACCATCACCCTGGAGGTGGAGCCCAGTGACACCATCGAGAACGTCAAGGGGAAGATCCAAGAAAAAGAGGGCATCCCCCCAGACCAGCAGAGGCTGATCTTTGCCGGCAAACAGCTGGAAGATGGGCGCACCCTGTCTGACTACAACATCCAGAAAGAGTCCACTCTGCACCTGGTCCTTCGCCTCAGAGGTGGGATGCAGATCTTCGTGAAGACCCTGACTGGCAAGACCATCACCCTGGAGGTGGAGCCCAGTGACACCATCGAGAACGTCAAGGCCAAGATCCAGGATAAGGAAGGCATCCCCCCTGACCAGCAGAGGCTCATCTTTGCAGGCAAGCAGCTGGAAGATGGCCGCACTCTCTCTGATTACAACATCCAGAAAGAGTCGACCCTGCACCTGGTCCTCCGTCTGAGGGGTGGTATGCAGATCTTCGTGAAGACCTTGACCGGCAAGACCATCACCCTGGAGGTGGAGCCCAGTGACACCATCGAGAACGTCAAGGCCAAGATCCAGGATAAGGAAGGCATCCCCCCTGACCAGCAGAGGCTCATCTTTGCAGGCAAACAGCTGGAAGATGGCCGCACTCTTTCTGATTACAACATCCAGAAAGAGTCGACCCTGCACCTGGTCCTTCGTCTGCGGGGTGGTATGCAGATCTTCGTGAAGACCCTGACCGGCAAGACCATCACCCTGGAGGTGGAGCCCAGTGACACCATCGAGAACGTCAAGGCCAAGATCCAGGATAAGGAAGGCATCCCCCCAGACCAGCAGAGGCTCATCTTTGCAGGCAAACAGCTGGAAGATGGCCGCACTCTGTCTGATTACAACATCCAGAAGGAGTCGACCCTGCACCTGGTCCTCCGTCTGAGGGGTGGTATGCAGATCTTCGTGAAGACCCTGACCGGCAAGACCATCACCCTGGAGGTGGAGCCCAGTGACACCATCGAGAATGTCAAGGCGAAGATCCAGGACAAGGAGGGCATCCCCCCAGACCAGCAGAGGTTGATCTTTGCCGGGAAACAGCTGGAAGATGGGCGCACCCTGTCTGACTACAACATCCAGAAAGAATCCACTCTGCACCTGGTCCTGCGCTTGAGGGGAGGTGTCTAAGTTCTCCCTTTTAAGCTTTCGACAAGTTTCATTGCACTTTTCTTTCAATAAAATTGTTGGCATTCTCAAATAGTGTAATTTATTTCTTTTTAATAAGTGCTTGCAGAAGATTCTTTTTAATTAGGGGTGGGGTGTGAGGGATCAAAGTTTTGGTCTACCAGATGATTCTGTGGTAACCTAGAGGTAAGCAATGTCAGTAAAAGGTGGCCTTAACATAGAACTGTAGTGGGTGAGTATAAATAAAACCCAGACAAGTTGGAGGTTGCAGTTAGAATTTTCCATGTGGACGCTTAGATGTAGATTTACTTGTAAACTACTGACTTTAAAAATACTGAGTTTGGCTTTGGTACCTGAGAGTGGGAGGGTTTCTGGAATACCAGCAGGGAGGAGCTATTAGAGGGCCGGAGTGGTGGAAGGGAACCTACAGAAAAATCAGTTTTAGTACATAGCTCTGTTTAAATTCACATTGAGCTGCATAGAATGTCATTTGACCAGATGTTTTTTAAAAAGGATGTAATGTTTTTTTGAATTTTATGTTTCATACAGCAGGTTCTTACTATCGTATGCATATTAGTGTATATATGTCAATCCCAGTTTCCCAATTCATCACACCACCACCCCCTGCCACTTTCCCCTCTTGGTGTCCATAAGTTTGTTCTCTAGGATGTGGCAGTTTAATTTTTACTGAAGTCTCATTAGGCGTTATGCTAGAAAGTTTAGGAGTTAGTAGTTAGAGAAGTAAAGCTATTGTCATAATTTTTGCTAAGATAAAGTCAAGATTCCTTAATTTTCTGAGACTAGGTGAAAGATTTGTATATAGCTAAATTGGTGGGTGAAGCCATTGGCTCTTGGTCTTTTATAGTAGTGACTTACCAGTCAGATGCTACTGGTAAGTATCTTTGTATGTCATAACTAGAGCCAAAGGTGAAAGTTGCAGGGAAGCTGGTTTAATATAAGGAGCTGGCACTGGTTGGTAGGTACCCCAGAAGTCAGAGGCTTATTTGAAGGACTCGAAATAAGGGATTGTTCTCTCCGAAGAGCATCACTCCCGCTAGATTCTCCCTTCCTTTCCCACTTTTAGGGTATGCATGTGTAACTTTGATGCAGAGGAAATTCTGTATTACTGCCAGTTCTAAAATACCTGAAGTCAACAGGGTTAAGTCCTCGCTTTAGGGCATCACAACTAGGAAATGCCATTTGAAAAGTTTGTCTTAGGCAAATCCGTTTCTTATTGTGGGTTTTCACTTTATTGACACCAGAGCATGTATAGTTCACTGGATTTCCGTGATTCACCCATGCAAATGAACATACAGGTCGAGAAGCAACATTACAAAAATCCTTGGAACTCCACCAACACCTGTAACCACGTCCAGTCGCTGTGAGTAGTTTTTGTGTAATTTTATTGCTCATTAAAAACAAGTGGTCATAGCGTAGGGGTAAAACGTCAATAGCATCTTGAAAATGACCGCCCTGCAGGACAGGCTTTGCAAGGTTCCTAAGGAGGTGTTAGTGATGAGTGCTTTGTCTTCGAGTGGGAGGCGGTCAGTGGCTAGTGATGCTTCAGAATGTGGGGCTGGGTCAGCTCGTGGGGGGGGGACCATGTGTGCGACACGCAGTTAGAAGGGTCTTGGCATTAGAGCATAAAGTTGTGTGGGTGTCCTAGGGGTGGGGATGCTCAATGGAGAACTTGCTGAGGAACACTTGGCTCCTTCCTGTCAAGTTTAATGAAAGGAATTGCTAACTACAGGTGTAAACACTAGAAAAGATTTGAAAAACAATTAAAAACACTAAAATCAGTGATGGTACAAACTATACGTAAATATATTAAATATCAAAATATGCATAAGATATAGTACAAACATTAAAATCATGATAAAGGAAGTGAAAGTTACACATAAGCTTACTCCCAGGAAAATGAGTATATTTGCCTCTTACTGTATCTAATTACAATGTATACATTGTTTTATAAAGTCAAAGGTAGCCCACCTAAGTTCCTAAGTAGTTAACTAACCATATTCCTTCTCAGTGATAACTAATTTTAAAGTTCGGTATTCCTTTGGGCTTTCCTCCTGTGTAGTAAATACATATAGATGTATACATAAATACAAATAGGACCATTCACGGCATAGTGTTTCTCAGCTTTTTTTTTTAAACTAGGTAATTATGGACATCTTTCCATGCCAGCATATCAGGATCTCCATCATTTTTAATACTCCAGCTAGTATTTCATTGTATAGATGATCATCTGTGACTTAATTTAACTTGTCCACCAACATTTGATTCTAGGTTTTTGCTGTTACAATCCTGCTGTAAAGTACATCCTTATACACATCTGTCATATACTAATATTTTGAAAGGATAGCATAAAAATACAAGATTTCTATTTAATAAGGCTCTTGGGGATAACTTTAAAAATCAGCCTTAAAACATTTTTATAATGATTACTGTATTTGTTACTGTCATATTTTCCTACTTTTATTTTTTTGAGTAGATAATACGTTCATGTGTTTCAGACATATAAAAAGTTTAAAACAGTATATAATGAAAAGTTTTCAATTTTGTCTCCCAGCCACTTGGTTCTCCACTTCCCCTAGTATGTGCTTTCAGTTTCTCTGTGCATGTACAAACGACTACTAATTATTAATTCCCCTTTATGCAAAAGGTAGCATACTGGCTCGCAGTCTGTCCTGCACCATGCTTTTTCACTTCATGTCTTTATAGTTTTGACAGAGTTCTAATATCCTTTCATTATAAAGGAAAAATACCTTTCATGTAATTTTCTCAAGAATAAAGACCACGAGAGCAACACAATCCCTAGTGAACATTTACAGGACCCTTCACCCAACAAATACAAGCATGACAGGAAAAAGTGATACAGTGTTGAACGAGAAGCGTTTCTATCATCAAGGGATTCTGAGGCTGAAGAACAGGGATGCTAGACTTGCTCAGTTTCGTTGAATGATCTTAAAGCACCCCAAAGTTTGGTTTCACACGTGAGTTAATACTACGTAAGGATTCATTTACATAGATGTGATTGTGTGAATCTTGAATAAACCAGAAGAAAAATGCGTGGCTCATATTTGTTTAGTGTTCCTTTTTATGTTTCGTTTGAAAGCACAACGAAGTCCTCGTCAAATTATTATAAATATGGTCCTCAGAGAGGTATGCTGTTTAGAGATTGGCAAGCGCTTGTTAACTCAAGGATGTCAGCCTTAGTGTGCAGTGATATCTCTGCCGGAAGAGGGAGCTACTGGAACAGACTTTGGTTTAGTCATGAAGCCTGCAGTGCCCCCGAGCGGTGTGGTTGACTAGGCAATTTGTGCTTTTACTTTTCTATTTCTCACAGTGGGTGGTTTACTCATTAGTAAAAGTTCATTTACTGTCCTCCCAAATGCCTTTTACTTTATCCTGTTTCTGCCGGTCCTGAAGCCATCTCCATTTTTTAAAAAATTTGTTTTTTGGCTGCGTTGGGTCTTCGTTGCTGCATGCAGGTTTTTCTCTAGTTGCTGAGAGCAGGGCTACTCTTCATTGAGGTGCGCAGGCTTCTCATTGCGTGGCTTCTCTTGTGGAGCACAGGCTGTAGGCGCACGGGCTTCAGTAGTTGTGACGCACGGGCTTAGTTGCTCCGCGGCATGTGGGATCTTCCCGGACCAGGGATGGAACTCATCCCTGGTTCAATTGCATTGGCAGGTGGATTCTTAACTGCTGCGCCACCAGGGAAGCCCCAAGCCATCTCCTTTTCCATTCCAGCTGGAATGACTCCTCCATAGCATCTAATGTAGCTATTATTCAACGTAGATTCTTTGTTTCTTACAGTATCTCATCAGATCTAACCCCTCAAAATGCCCTTCTCCCTGCTTCTCTTATCTGCTGACCACTCTTTTTCCCCATATGCTCCCTGACATTTTCTACATCCTTGTTTCACTCCAGCTGCTCCCTCTTTCTAAAATACCACCTTTCCCCTATGTCTGACTTTAATAAAAACAAGTCTATAGCCTTGGCTGCAGTAAGGAAAGAGCTGGGTTCCTGGGACAGCACAGAGAGGTTATATTGCAGCCCAGAGAAGGTGTGTATAGGATGGCAAGAGGTCACTGGCAGAATTTCCTGAGGCAGGAGGCTGGCTGAGCAGCAAGGGGCTATCAGCACAGGTTTGTGGAAAGTGTAAGCATTCCTCAGAAACCCCCAAAAATGCCAGGGAAGGGAAACTGGTAAGTGGACTTCCTAGAGGCGGTCACACACAATGCAGAACAGACCGGACATACGGGCTTTAAAGGAAATGCTGACTCCTCCACACTGGCCCACACAGATGCTGGGTCACAACTCCCTGCCCCCTCCTCCCTGTTGGTCATTCCCCTGGCATAGTCCAACCTGATGGGCTTCACTAGAGTTTTCAAAGCCCCCCGTCCAAATGCTTGAGACTGTAAAAAATACATTGTATCCAATATATGAAAATTACAAGATTGAATTTAAATATTTTAGAATCTTCAAAAGGTAACACATAAACTGGCACAGACTTCAATGCTGACATAGGGACTTGTATTTAATGGGGGTACTTTTTAATGCAAGATATAATATGAAATGCTTTATATTTGGCTGTGGCATCCAAAGTAAAAATGTCTAGAGCCTACATGGGTCTTAAAATGGCCCTGTTCTTTTCTTTCATTTAAAAAGAAAATTGAAAACAGATTAGACTTTTTTTTTCAAATGTTTCCCTGCCAAAAGAGAATTTTGAACGTTTTTGGAATAAATCATCCCAAGAATGTCAGTATAGCTGATTTATTTTTTGATCCAGGATCCAGTAAAGATTCATGCTTTGCATTGGTTATTATATCTCCTTTATGTTTCTCTCTCTCTCTTTTTTTTGGTTTGGTTGTGAAATGATTCTTTATTTATGTGCTCCTTTATTGAAACACTTCCCTTTCTAGTTTTTAACTAACTGGGCATTGCCTGGCACCACTGTTGATGTCATTTTTCATGTCGTGATGGTGGTGGCCATCAGCACAGACTGGGCAGTCCTCAGGGTCTCTTGATGGTTCCAAGAGAATTCTCTAACCAAAGACTGGTGCTGCA